TTAAGGCCATCAAGGAAGGAGTTCTTTCCTGTTAGGGAAGAGGATCTCTCAGGAAAGGAGGTTTTATTAAGGGATCATTATTAGAGAATCCTATCCCTCATGAATTCTCTCCGTTCGTGACCCTATTGTGCTGATGTGGCACGGGTGACGTCATTGTTTGGCGGGCGTACTTTCATTAAACTCACATGCGTAACTTAAAGACATACGTGTAACCGGTATCTATTCCCGTTCTACCGTGATTTCATGGTTCTGTGATGGTGTTGGGTTCATTGCAGTTTTACGCATGTTTGGGTTCATCGCAAATCCGCATGTCTTAGCTTTATCGCAGATTCGTACTAGCCAAAGTTCATCGTGACCTGTCTTGGGTGTGAGTTCATCGCAATCGTGGATCTGTGATGAATTCATCACAATCGTGCGATGGCTTCTGCATTCATCGCAAGCGTTTGTGTAGTGTTGGTTTGACACATTTTGTACTCTAAAGGTCTTAGTGACCATTATATACCTATAGACCAGGTCTTAAATATCATATATTCATCATATTAAATAAAAATAAGTGTGACAAATAAGAATAAAAATATAAAATTATTTTGAAAACATATTATTTACTATCATCTTCATCAAAAAAATGCTACCTACAAAACACATGCATACTTAATAATAGTGTATATATCAAAGACTAATAACCAGAGAAAGAATCATCTTATGGTTGGATATGTCGGTAAGTTATGCTTTAGTCCCAGTTCTTGCCCATCTGGGAAGGCTGAAGTGCAGCAGCTTCTAGCTTTTTTAAGTAAATGAAAGGAGAAGCAGCTTCCTTACGGCTTTCTGAGATGGGCCCCACACAAAGAAGCCTATAAAACTCTATTGAGTGAAAAATCGAGAGAGACCAAACCTGTTTCAGTCACTTTTTCAACTATCCCCTGCAGCATCTTTTAATAGCTTATCAAAGCATTTCAAAGCAGTTGAATCAGCTTAGTTGAATCTTCAACCAGCCCAATTGCTTTCTAAGAGGCTTGAAAGGTGTAGTGCTGTGCTACCAAGTCTTGTGAAATTCCCGCCAGGTAAATTTGTTAAAAGAAAAAACAACAACGGTACATAAGAGGCTGCATTCACAATCTCCTCTAAATGAAAATCTTCTCTGCAACGTGTGTGTGCCAACGCGTCTTCATGTTGTGGACTATACCAAACCATGTCAGTGGGTGGGGTAAACCCGCACATTAGCCCGGCCTTATGGGTTAGGGTCGGATCAACCTTAATCGGGTTTCAGCCTTTCGGGTCATGTTCGGGTTAAGGTCAATGTGTCAAAACCGACTAATTGTAACATTGAAACATGTGCTAAACAAAAATGGCCTTGGTTGCGTATATTGGTTTCCCTCTTCCTTTAATTCAAGTGGGGTGGGTTTGCGTTGGAAGCAACTGCGTATCAGGTTCACCGTCCTGAGTCTGACGTCCCTAATTGCATTTGCATCCATGCCATGTGCGGAGTTGGGCTTCAGTCAAAATTGCAAAAGGCTGTTAGAACGGTATGGACATAGATTTTTCCTGATGAAAGCCGATCTTGCTTGCGCCATGTATTGTTTAAGTTGCACCTAGTCCTGTTGGGTGGTACTGAATGCTCTTGCAAGTGGCAACTTGGGTTCTTAATTTGGGGATGAGGATAGGGATGCAATTATTCGAATTAAAATTCAAATTTGATTCCATTAAGGGTGATCCAAGTTTCATCTCTAAATTTAAATTCAAATTCAATCTGTTTATAATTGGATTAAATATGGATCTACCCATATCCAATCTGATTAAATTCGATTTAAACATATGTACTTAAAAATTATATTCTATTTATCAATGAAGTGATGTATTTTTTACCAATTTGTCATAGGTTCCAAGTTTTATACAATTACTCAATTCATTTTGTTCATAAAATATAATTTTAAAGTCATTTTAGTTTATTTTTAGAGTAAATTACAAAGACCCCCCTGTACTATGGGGTCTGTGACAAAGACCCCCCTCTAGTATGACCATAAAACAAAGACCCCTCTTGACCGTTAAGTCAGATGATGGAATGCGTTAAATTACCAAAATACCCTACTAAATTTTTTCTATTTTCTTTTTTTGCCCTTTTTCTCTTTAAACCTATTTAACCTATTGTTTCCCTTTCTTCTCTTCTTTTCCCCTCCTTCACCGTCCTCTCTTATTCTTTCTCTCTCCCAACTCTCCTAAATGAAAGGACAGAGGAAATCCATTTATCATCTTCCCTTTCTTTTCTTCTCCGTTCGAGCCAAGAACACTATGAACATAATGCTCACCAACGTGCTCGACGTAGCCGCTAAGGGTCTATTTTACTATCTCTTCGAGTTTGCCTTTGTCTTCGGTTCTCCTTCCAACGGCTTCATCGGCCATCACTTCTTGGGCATGAAGGTGTTCCCATCAAAGTTGTTCGATTACAGTAACTTCCTGTATCAATGGGCTTTTTCTATCGCTGCTACAGAAACCCAATTTGTCGCTTACCTCATTTACTTGACCGGACTGTTGTAAACATAAGCTTGGTCGATTGCACGGCTACACTGACCACTCTGTTCGAGAAAAGGTTGATTTCAGGACACTAGAACATTACCGATGTGTGCAATGGATTGCTTGGTGGGTTCACGACAATCACCTCTAACTGCACAATGGTGGAGCCATGGGCTGCTATCGTCTGCGATTTCATTGCCTCCTAGGTCTTGATTGGATGCAACAAGCTTGCTAAGTTCAAATATGATGACCCACTGGAGGCTACGCAATTGCACAATGGCTATGGAAGTTGGGGTCTTATATTCACGAGCATGTTTGCAAGGGGCATATATGTGCAGGAGGTATACCAAGCCACAGGGAGGCCATATGGGATGTTCATGGGACGAGGTGGAAAGCTCTTAGCTACTCAAATTATCCAGATTTTGACGATTGTTGGGTGGGTGAGTGCCACCATGGGTCCTGTGTTTTATGTGTTAATTAAGATGAATTTGCTAAGGATGAAATGGCCAGGAATGGGTCCTCTATTTTATACCATATAAAGATGAACAATCACAGAAGCATGGAGGTTTAATGATAAGAAGAATAGAACCAGCTAATGGCACTCCTGCTGCTAATCGAAGTCCATCACAAGCTGTGTGGTCATTTGCCGCTCTCGATGCAAATCCCAACCTCCAGAACCTTCGTCACAACGATGGGTGAGTGCCACCATGGGTTCTCTGTTTTATGTGTTAAATAAGATGAACTTGCTAAGGATATCGGTTGAGGATGAGATGGTCGGAATGGATATGACCTGGCACGGTGGCTTTGCATATGTATACCATGATGAAGATGAACAGTCACAGAAGCAGGGAGGTTTAATGATGAGAAGAATAGAACCAACTAATGGCACTCCCGCTGTTAATCAAAGTCCATCACAAGTTGTGTGATCATCTTCTACTCTTGGTGCAAATCCCAACCTCCAAAACCTTCGTCGTAACAGCTATGGCGCTCCTAGAATGCCCAAAACCTATAATGCTACAATTTCACGGTGGTGGAAGTTACCTATCCGACTACATTTGAGGACGGGTTGAAACTTTTGAACTAGTTACGGAAGCAAGCAAATGGAGAGAGAGAGAGAGAGAGAGATCGGGATCTGAAGAAAGCAATAATGGAGAGAGAGATCGGGATTAAATTAAATTAAGGGGAAGGGCAAGAAGAGAGATCGGGGGAGAGAGAAAGAGAAATGTGAAGGAACGGAAGTGTAGTATCGGAAGGTCAAGAAGATGAACAGTGTTTTTCTCGTCTAATTATTACAAGGGTAGTATGGGGATTAAAAAATATTGTAACGGTCTTTTTGAACAAAAGGCTAATGGAAGGGGGTCTTTGTCTCACAGTCATAGTACTGTGGGGTCTTTATAATTTACCCTTATTTTTATTAATAATACATAATATTTTGATCATTTTTAATCCAATTTACTTATACTATTTAATATCCAATTATAATCCTAATTCGATTTGAATCTTCTCGTTATTCCAGGGTTATGATCCAATTCGAATTTAAATGTAAACAAATCAAATTCAGATATGCCTGTCTGATTTGATCGGATCCGTTTTCAGTCCTAGATGAAGATGCAAGTAGGCTGTCAATGGTTTGGATCGTTTGGGTCTGGGTCAGGGCATTGATTATTAATTGGGACAATTGCATCTGACCCAACTAGGAACCTTTTTATATTTAACAAAAGAATCAGTTGAGATCGGAATCAGTTCGGAACAAGCAAGAATAAGAACCGACCCAATTATTAATTGGGACAAAACCTTAGAACCAGAACCAATGCAAATGGTTCGGTTCGGTTTGATTTGATTCGATCAGTCGGATAAACCAACCAATTGACAGACCTACATGCAATTGTAAAAAGCCCAAGAAATCCCGTTTAATGGGTGGAAAAGGCGATCTTTGAGATTTTCTGCTTCTGGTTTTTGCCTGATGACAATGACAGATTTTGACTCATGTCGTGACTCGTGAGAGCTTTTATCATCATTAATCAAGTAAACAAATTCAAACAAAGCTCAAACAAAAGCACCAAAATCAGTCGACAGTTCTTGACTTTTGTTTCAGGGATCCAGAAAACCACTCACGGCAAGGTTTTCATAGAAAATAGAATACATTCTCTAGACAGAAACGTCGGAACTTGCCAATTTAGATTTTAGAAGCTCATGGTCCTGAATTTAGCGACACAAGCATATTGTGTAGTTGTCGTCATCATCATCATCATCTAAACTTTGCCTCAATTATATAGGGCTGGTTATATTATATTAATACTGTTATGTCATTTCATTCTATTCAGTCTCATCCATTGTTAAACTATGGACTCTCAAATCCCTTCTAACTATTTTAGAAAATTTTAGCAATTCTTTTAACATGGCATACATACAATTTTAACACAATTCTGATAACGAGAGGTTCTATACTTTAAACCTTGTATGATACCCAGAGACCTGTATAGGGTGCTGAATTGTGTCAGATAATTAACCATGGGGCTAATTGTTTTCATTAAATCAACAGCATTTCCTGATTTACAAAGCCTGAGGCATGACGGTTGCTCAAGACATCATAGTTTTCTAGGAAACAAGCAATGACAATATACACGTATGCCATGAGATTTTTCTATAAGGCTGGTGGTCGTTCGCCTAACTATTAGCCCCATGAGTAGTGTTATCACCACCATTGCAAGGTACTTGCACCATCAAAGATAGCATTGTCGAGAGATAAAGTGGAAGAAATTGATTTACCAAATTTTCATACAACATTTTGTTTGAACTTCAAGATGGATCTTGTGTCTTTGTCCAAAGATAATGAGATATCCTGCTCAAAGAAAATATTGAACGTATTATGAATAAATATATACACCCTTTTAGAGCTATAACAATGATGAAACTAGAAATATGTTGTAATACATTAGAAGAAAGTAGTACTTGAATATGAGAACATGCAGCAGGTTAGTTTTTCTATTTGCATTATTTTTAAATGGTTAGCCCTTTCTGGGGCTGTTTCCCTTCATCCCATAGTTCGGTATGGGGAACTTTCAAGAATCAGAGAACAGTGCCAAATCAGCCAAATGAAATGTTGGCTTGTAGGCCCAAGATGGTGGGGTAGTAAAAGGTTGAAGGTGGAGTCAAATACACTTTGCAGTTTTTTGAGGGGTTTGGAAAGCGTAACAGGTGAATCTTTGGAGACAAATACTAGAGATGGAAAGTGGTGGCAGATGCTCTATTTTGGTAGAATTGATTCTTTGCTGCAAGTCAGATGTTCAGCTTTAGAGTATAAAACAGACTCTATAAACTCAATAGACCTAAACCTGGCCCACACCCTACCATGAATTAATGTTCAATTGGAGTCACCACTACATAAAAGGAATGCTAATACTATCCAAACCAGGAGGCCCATCTGAAAGCTATTTCAATCTTTGGTAGGGCAAGACTAAGCTATTGCAATCTTTACTGAACCAAAAATATGAATAAATGCCTCCACCTCCTGCAACCTACAAAGAACTCTGACATGTGCCAAGGTGGCACTCGATATCACCATATAACTTCAAAGGGAAAAATCATGATCCCCTATCAAGCAGAAATTGAAGTATTTAGCCATGAAAATCCCATGAGCTAATATTCAATTGGAGTTATCACTAGATAAAAGGAATGCTAATGCTATCCACACCAGGAGACCCATCTAAAAGTTACTGCAATCTCAGTAGGGCAAGACTAAGCCATAGAGCACCATTACTGAACAAAAAATATGAATAAATGCCTCCACTTCCTGCAACCTACAAAGAACTCTGACAAGTGCCAACTTGGATCTCTCATGGTGGCACTCGATATCATGAAATGCTCACACTGACGTTTCTTTACTCCTATATCACAAAACACTGCTCCTTTTGTGATATCGAGTGCCACCATGAGAGATACCAACCAACCTTTTATCTCAAACAGAAAGGGAGCCATGCATCTACTGATCTACATTATCTTGGATCTCAAACAGAGGGAACCAGTGCCAACACTTTGCATAATGGTTAGCCAATATTTTTCCTAAAAAATGCATGGAAAAACCATTGACTGAAGTGCTTTTTCCTATTAAGAATTAAGGAAAGTTTATATGAAAAGTGAAAGAATATGAAAAATACATAAGCATCAGAAAGCAAAACCAAGGGGAGCCAGAGAAGTTAACCACCTTGAGACTACAACAATAGATGTAAAAACAGGAAATACACGCTTTATTATTACACTTATTTTCATTAGTAAAACTAACTTGAGCTTTTTTTTTATCAATAATAGAATAATTTCATTAATAACAAATGAGTACAATAGTACACTACAGAGAGAGATAAACTCTCTTAACTCTCTCTGAGAAGACAGCTGAATCCACAATTACAACACAGCCCAAAAAAGTTGATCCCTTCCCACCCCTTGGTTTGCCAAGGTATCAGCAAAAACAAACTGGCACTTCTTTTTACCCACTGAAGCTTCACTTCTATACTTTGTGTTACCCACTTGAATTTCCTTATTTCATTCATGTAGTTCCACCAACCAACCTACTCCTTTTGCAACCAGCTCACTACTAACTTGGAATCTCCTTCAATGATCAATCTTGATGTTCAACTCCTTTGCTTTTTGGACTCCTTCCATCACTGCCATGATTTCAACCCTCGGTGAACCACCCATACCTATTGGGCCCAATTAAAGAGCTATAACTCTTCCCTCTTCATTCTGGAAACACTTCCTATGCCTGAAGGACCCAGGTTCCCTTCATTACTACTATCAAAATTCAGCATGATAAACCCGGAAGTGGGAGGGGACCAGGTCAGCCTAATGACAGCTTTATATAGAGAGGAATCAGCTACCTCCTTACATTTTCTAAACAGGTCATCAGTAGAAATGCCTTCAAAAGTGCTCATATGTTTTACCCATTGTACCACTCCGAAAGTAATGTTTTCAATGATTGCTTCTCTCGTCCTCTCCTTATCTTAAAAAATTATTTGTTTCTTTCCTCCCAAATTGTCCAGCAAACACCTGCTCTTGTACACCACCACAAGATTCTCCCCCTTCTCTTTCTCCAATTGACAAATGTAGGATCAAACAAGCCTTGTACATTTGGTGGGGGAGGGGGGTCCACTTGCCAAACAAAGAGAAACCATACTGAAATAGCATAAACAAAAGGACAGGAGATTAACAAGTGGTAGAAAGTCTCACCATTGGCCTTACAAAGGATACATCGATTAGGAGAAAGGGACCAAGTTTGTCTTTCTCTAAAGGAGATCAGAAGTATTGATTGTTTCTAGGAAAGCTTCCCAACAAAAAGCACCAACACCTAGGAGGAATAGGTTTGTTCCAGACTTCCTTAACAAGAAAAGGCATCATAGCTGTCTGGGGGTTGGGTCAAGGCCGAGGACTAGGAGGCACAGGAAAAAGAACCAGAGGATGCAAGACACCAAAACCAACTATCTGACTCTGAGGGATTCAAGAACACCCCTTCCAAATTCCAAGCAAAGCCAAAAGTAGAGCTAGAAGGCAGCAAGAAGGAAAACACAGGCTCACCCTTAAGGTCAGACAAATTGTGAAGAGAGAGAAATTGTTCCTTCAGTGGTGAGTCACCCATTCATACATGTTCCCAAAATTTAACTGGGTTTCCAGAACACAAGTTATATCTAGGCCAACAGGAGGGGCGAGTGAAAACATTGCCTTGGGTGAAACTGTTGTTGAGTCCAGAACAACAGTCTGGAACTCATCCTTCCTCCCCATTAGAGAATCATTGGGGAAGTTCACCTGTCACGAATCGACCTTCTGACAACTTTCACTCATCTGTTGCTTTGTTCTAAATTGATTTTCCTTGTCCAACCTCTGATGATTCTCCAATCTCCTCTACCTCCTTACAGACAAACTGCCTAGATAGTGTATTTGGTTCAGGTTCCCTTTCATTCAGGCTTTGATTTCCCAATCCAGCATCCTGCACTTCAGCCATGTCACAATTTCTGTTGTCTATCACTAGAGTCGAAGAAGGGACAGTCTCTGTTGAGATTTTTTCCTCGCAAATAGTTGAGTAAGATAAAAAATCTCCTAAACTATATCGGCATAGACCATCTTCTTAACACTGTCATCAAATAACTCTATCTCTGACTCTGTTTCTTCATCATCAAATGAGCTACATTCAACCCAACCCACATCTCCTACCTCATTGTCCTCCTCTCGGGATCTGTTGTACCTTGGATTAGGTCACTCGTCTGTGGATCTGCTTGAAGTCCTATCTGTTGCAGCCACTGTTTTCTGAATCCATTGCATCTTCATCCTTGATGCCACATTTGATCCAACACTACCCGTAGCTGTTGGAGAAGATAATAGACCAAATTTGTTGTCTCCAATCGCTATAAGATGGTCTCAATTCATGTTAGTGTCACATGAGCCAAAACGCTCCAACACTAATGTCCCCTAGGCTTCATCAACCGGCTAGTCCACCCACCTTCCGGTCAGTTTGGAAATGGTTCCAAACCCAACACTTTTAATTTTCTTTGGGCCCCAAGTGGGATCCGATGTGGCCCTCTTTTTCTAGCTGCATCACACAGATATGTCATGGACACAACATGAACAAGGTGACAAATAGAGTTTACTCAAAAAATTGAGGAGTCTGCCTAGGAATAAGTACCCGTTTGAAGTGTCCATTTAACATATTATGCCAACATAATTATATATGTTGATTGGCTCCTAATTGTGCCAACATATTATGCCAACATATTATGCCAAAAAATTGAGGAGTCTGCCTAGGAATAAGTACCCGTTTGAAGTGTCCATACCCAAGTAACTCACCTAGGATCATGTATGTTTATTAGGTAACCTGATCTTGGTCTATTCTTGCCTCTCCTGTTTCTTGTTAAGAGATTTCATCTCTTCCTGTACACATTGATTATTTGCTTTCTCCCACAAGAGGCTTGTCTGTGGTCTTATTTAACCCTCTCTGGTGGTCTAGACAATTTCACTTCTACTTTCTATTTCTAATAACAATATCTCTTTGATCTTGTTATCAATCAAGTGATAATAATAGCAACAACAACAATATAACATGCTTGCCTTTGAGATCCTAATGATGGACCAATAAAATGGCTTAAAATGGACTCTGCTATTATTCCAGAGTTCCCTCATCATTGATGGACCTAATTAACATGCTGAAAGGCACATTTTCGACATTGTAACTAATGCTGGAAATGATAAGGAAAGGAAAAAAACATGAAGAATGTTTTCTTACTCAAGATCTTTCTCTCTGTCAAAGGTCCCAATACTGCTGCCTTCTAGGAAAAAGACATGACAGGAAATCCAGACGCCTGAGGTAATACCAGATAATACTGCATGCAAGAAATGTTGTAGTTACAAACTAAGTTGGTTTTGATTTGTATGTAGAATAAATATAAACACTTTTATAGGTAAAATAAGCATATATTAACCAAAAATACAAACAGATGTCAACTACCTCTTTATTTTTCCTTCCTTGGACGCTTTTTCTTTGGCCTACAAATTAGTTAACAAAAAGTGAGTAGCATATTACATATGCAACAAGCTACAGCCAAGCATCTTACATGCAGATGCAGTCCAATTATAGCAGATAACTTCGGCATGAATCTATCAACTTGTTTAGTTTATATTTGGAGTTTATACCAGTAAAAGGTTACAGATGCCTAGCTAGCCAAACAGGTTTAAACTGGATTGCAAAAATACACCCTTGAATCAGGGGCCCAAGCGTTATGTACCCAGGGGGAGTTTCACTCTATTATGAAGTTGGGGAAAATTTTTCTGGAGTTCACATCTATGGTTTGGCTACCTTAGCAGGATCAAGGGCAACATCCGACATTCAGCTGTGGTCGTGTAATGATGTTATGAAACCATGAAAGGCTGTTCTGTTGAATAAGTAATTACCGTTGCTCATTGAATTTCTTGCATATTAAATCCTTGAGCTCCTGTATCTGAGATTCAAGGCCTTTCAGTGATTGTATTTGAGCCTCAATGTTTTTCAGCCTTTCCAATACCTGCAAATTAATATTAATTAGGTTCTATGGACCAAATACCCATAAAATAATGCAAAAGAACAAAAGGCTATTAACCCATGTTGGTCTGGGCTATTCAGGGTCATGGGCAGGCTGGACTGGATATAGAGCTAACCTCCAGCATATTAACATGAAGTGGCCACTCATACTCATAGTAACATTCTCACACTTGTCAGCCCAAGATTTTACCACCACACAAAGCAATGACCGATAAAATAATGCACAAGAATGTAACAAAGAATATTAGACCAAGATTAGTTAATTACATCATCAATTGCCCCATACTCAGGTGTAGGATGTCTCCTAACTCCAACATCAGCAGTGCCTGTGGGTATGATGTCCTCTTGACTGGTCTGGCCTGGGCCCTGAATTCCCATGTCCATCTCCACCACAACCTAAATAGCCACAGAAAAGGCTTGTAAAACTAATAGTACCAGTAGGAAGAAATATCAAATCAGCAAAATTTAACTTTCACCAGCTATCATATCATATGAATTATTTTGGTTGAAAACCAAATAAGCCTAGAAAGACTATCCCCCCTATAGCAAAATAAAAAAAAAATAAAAAAAAAGACATGCCAATTGAATATAAATAAAACTGCAACTGGAGTAAAAAAATCTCAGCAGCCTTATCTGATATCAGTTACATCTCAGCTTACTGATGTTGTTGATGGATGCAGCTTATGCATCTATATGTAAGCTGCTGATAGGATTTATGACCTTCATAGGGGTAGTGATTCTAGACGTAGTATTAGTAGTAGCATATACTAATAGCAGAGACAGCAGCTACCAGTCTTAGTATACCTCTGCAAAATCATATCCACCAATCTCTCGATACTTTCTCTCTCTCTCTGAAATCTCCATCTCACCCCATGCCAACAAGCGGGGAACATTTAAGTTGGGGACAAATGTGCTTGGACCACCAATGGTGGTGTGCTCATAGAAGAAGAACTGCAAGAAAGCAAGAATGTTAGATACAGTTTGTAATTAGCCATATGGCTAATAACATTGTATTACCTTAAGAAACAAGAGACAGCCACCCACTGCCCGCTGCTTCCCTTGATGAAATCGAGAAGTCTCTCGGAGTAGCCGATCAAGGACAAATTGTGCCCAATTGTATTTAGGTATGTCATCTGTCTTTCTCAATGAATGAAGGAACTTGGGGCTGGCTTCTCCCTTCGCAGTAGGGCATAAGATTGTGCCTAATGCAAAGAGGGCAAACGACCTCTTAAACTCATCTCCTGCTTCCTGAGTTTCCAACTGTTTCTCCAATAGGCCAAGGGAAATCCCAGTACTAATTGAACTGTTCCCTCCATCATCAGGAGCTGCTGAATAGTAACGACGCATCTCTGCAATTGCACCATCAGGCCCAGAAGTGACAACTTTATGCCCAGATGATGGTAATCCCATGACAAGTTCTACATCACGCACTGTTATGTAGATGCGCTTACCATCAATGTGGAGACAACAACGGGCAGGATCAAACCTCTCAAGAAGCCACTGACAAAGTCCACGACGTAATGTCTCACATCTAATGCCAAGCAGGCTGCCAAAGCCCACATTCTCAACTGCCACCTTTTGCTCAACAGTGAGCTTCTTAAGAACACTCAAGAAACGACCAGGGGAACATCTTGTTTGCAGTATCTGAAATAGATCAGTTTCATTAGCATAAAATAAAGCATAGCAGAACACAGAAGTACAAGAACAAAGATTTCAGCTTTTATTATTTTACCTCTCTCTTTGACTTAGGGGGTGAGGGAGGTCGGGGGGTTTTGCTTTTGTATTGTTCCCAAGCATCCTTAGCCTGGTTATTGTATGATGATTTCTCCTCTAGAGACATCGCTTTCCATGCCTCTGCAGCTGCCATGGTGGCCTACAACATACAATTGAATTTTGAATTACAAGAATAAAAAAAAATCTAACGCTGATGAATTTAGTGTAGAAAAGTGATATACATACACTTCTAAGGCCATGGATCTCAGGGTGATCGGCCTTGTAAGACTTTATAAAGTCCCGACTGCAATATTGAAGGAAATTTGTCAATGGTACCAGTGTCACCATGGCAATATGACACGTATAGCCTCAGAAAAAGTGTACCAATTGGACATTCAGAACTTCTAATTACCTAAACAATACCCAAGAATTCAAAGGACGTGGAGGCAATTGAGATGATGTAGAATCAGATGGGGATAAGGATGCTTTCTTCCCAAAAGAATTGCAGGTTGGGCTGCATTGGCATCAAATAACTGGCTTAAGAATTAAAAGAAAAACTAGAATAATAGAAATGCTTTAGATACTTTAGATAACCAATCAACCTTGTTTCGGGTGGCTGGTCTGGTGCTACAATGCCCACAACTAACTCCATAGATGTTCCTTCAGATGGGGATAAGGATGATGCTTTCTTCTCATGAACATTGCTGGTAGGACTGTGTCAGCATCAAAGAACTGGCTTAACTTCAAATAACTGGAACAACATTACCATTTAAGCATCCAACCAACCTTGTGTCAGGTGGCTGATCTGGTGACACAGCTAGCTCCAGAGATGTGCCTTCTAATGGAAATGTGAATGATTTCTTCCCATGAGCATTAGGAATGGTACTGTCTTAGCATTGAAGAACTGGTTTAAGCTTTGAATAACTGCAATAATAATGACATTTTAAATAGCTAACCAACCTTTCATCAGGTGGCTGATCTGGTAACACAGCTAGATCTCTAGATGCTTGCCTCCTAGATTCTTGCTTCTTGCCATTGCTAGCCATCCTATTTGTTACATCAGCCTGCACAGCAAACATATAAATAGCTGAATGACATATACTAAGGGCACAGCATACATAACAGTGTCAATGTGTCATTGGTATGATTGTAAAACCAAATTCAGGTCAGTAAGTGCTCGAAAGAATGTCGCTAGGTTGAGATAGAATATTCTATACCCCAAATCATCATTTGCCCTTGCACCCCATGTTTGACATAATTCGACATGGGTATTAGTATGAAATACATGTTGGATACACCAAATCCACATCCATCATTTCACCACCAGCTTTGATGGATTGGGTGTGTATCCACTTAATTGGGCACACAACCAACATAAACTATTAACTAATGTTGTTAAGACAAAACATTACAATCAGCGGTGAAGCATGAAACTTACCTGCTCAACCAAAAATGCCCCTTCAACCTCATACAATGTGGGTTTCTTTCTGACAGTAAATTACAGAAGAAAGAAGAAGCGATATAAAAGAAATCTACAGGTGAAGTGGCCAGGAAAAATAGAGCAAAAAGAATCACAAAAAAGAAACAGACACCTTGTCAACCCAGAATCCCATACAATGATCATGTTATACAAAAACATCACCCTTCAGACACCTTGTCATCCCCAAAATGAATCAAGCTATGAACTTACAACACCCCAGGGAGGATACAGCCACCAAAGAGCAACCCAGAAAAAGTCACATCAGCAAAGGTGTAATGATCATACTGACAAGGCAGTTGTTTTGGTTTTAGAAAAAAAAACTATTCACATTGTTGAACACCCCCAAAATAACTCAGCAACAAGGTTCAAAGTATCAATCAATACACCCCGATATGGCGCAAGGGGTGTATTGGTACTTTAAACCTTGTGCCCATCTATTTTTTTTAATTTTTTTTTCAAAAATAGGTCAGGGGATGGGTTTTAGGCCCCTCTACCCCCCTGAAATAGGTCAAATCCCCAAAACCCCCTAGTTTAGCGTATCAGTGGGTCACATACATGACAAAATTTTGAACTTTGCTCAGCAGCTAACAAAATAATACTCCATCAAGCTCCTAGGTCAAAAGCAAACAAACACCCAAGAATTCAGTGTTTTCAGAGTGAAAAGTGCAACTAAAATGCAAAGTGTTTCTAGAGCCTGAAGCACAATGCAAGCAAAGTTCATGCCTGAGGGAGATGAGGAACCACTTTTGGAATAAAAAAATAGCATTAGTTCAATTGATTTTGAGGGAATCTCTCCTTTTTAAAAAAAAAAAAGTACTAGGTCAATTAGTTAAAGCACTGTTTCATTAACACAAAGGTTACAGCCTTGTACATTTAAGTCCTATATAGGCTAAAACTGTATAAACTCTAATTGTTGTAGGTACACTTACAGCACAGTAAATTACATAAACATCAAAATCAAGGTTAATTCATTAAAAAAAAATAGCAACAAACCAAATGAGGTGCACCCAGGTTCACAAAGGTGAACCCCAGAAAATGAGCCTCATCTGTGAACCTAAGAACACCTGAGGTGCACTGTTTTAAAACACTAAGAGAAACTCCTCATTTCGATCTACTTCCATCTCTCACTCATTTGGCCACACCCTTCTCAAACTTCCTCTGTCCTCTTCTTCAAGTAAGACATGTTTCCACCAATCACAATTATGAAATATGAAGACAAAGAGCCTCCTTGGATACATAAATTCAGATGCCAAATCAATTGCATAATTTAAGAGTGGCGGATGCTCATCTTCTAATGCAAACTCTTCATCCCTCACAAAGAGAATGGTCATGGATTCTTCCCAGATTATTGTATTTGTTATTAATACTTCCTCATTTTAGATGTCTATAACAGAATGCATCAAAAATGTTAAATATGGTTGGCATGCATGATTTAAAACAAGACATGTATTGTCCTATCTATGATATATCTAAATGGTTATAGCGATGGATGAACGAATTTTATCCGATTTCTCATATCCCGAAAGTTTGGGATCAAATAGATTCAACTCCTATATATATACATACCCATATTCGATACCCACACCTGAACCCATGTAAAATTTTATGCAATTAGATATGTAAAGGTAAATGAGGATCATGCAGCTCTGTGTTGCACATTTTAATGCTCCGGTTGCAGCTTCAGCTGTTTTTAGTTCAGTTCACCCTAGGGCAAGTTGTAGACTTAAGACTTCGTCAGACATAGTTACACCTTAACTTGACCAAATCAACCTTTTTTTTGTTCTTTTTTTTTTTTTTGCGAAATGAAAGCCCGAACAGTTCTCTGTCGGGTGCCGAAAGAAGCAATTTTACGCTGTAGAAAGTTGAACATTATGCAGCTTTATGTTGCACACTCTCCTTCCCAAGATTGCACCAAATTGAGCATGCCTAAGCAGGATTTTTTGAAACCCCCCCCCCCTCCTTTCCTCCACAATTACAAAAAAACAAACAAAAAGGATAAAAAAGGAGAGAGAGAGAGAGATTGGGCGGGATCCAGTGACAAGGACTGCTTTGTGGGTGTTAATAGCTTCTGTCAAATTGCCAGCAGGCCCCTAGAAAACCCATTTCTTACCGCTGTGAAATGACGGGACCGATAGAAGGAAACCCTTCTAGATAAAAATAAATTAATTAATTAAAAAAACTGAACGAGGAATTGGATGGCTTTGCAAGAGTGCTATTACAACAAGCACGATCACCATCAACCACCATTTCTGAATCATTTACTTTTCAGTGAAAATAAAGCTTAACTGGAATAAAATGGTTGAGAGAAAGTTGTAGTTCCTGAAATTTAACAAGAAAAAGTAAAAGGAGAAACACCCACCTGAAGTCCAAGGCGAAATGCTCATGCTCTCGCTCTCGGCTTAGTCTTCTAGTTCTTCTTCTTCGTCTTCACTCCCCCTTCCTCCTCCTCTATATGCCTTGTTCCTTTTTCTTCTGCTTGGTTTGCTAGTGGGTTAGGTGAATTTTCACTTCCAGAGATTTGAAATTTCTGATGGGCCGGCAAACGAGTAGATTTTTCATTTACATCCTCTGAGAACGAATAGGAAAGCTTGTCAGGCCAAAGTGGATGCTTCTGTGTTTTCTGTACTGCAACTGTCTTTTCGCTTGGACGATACCAGTGCCACGGTCCCGTTTGGCCACGCGACTGAAAAAATCCAAAAGCGACAATATTTCTTTGTCCTTATTATAGGCCTGGGGAAGGGGGGACACGAGATCCCGAATGTATCTAGCCACCCTCAAACATGCCACGTGTCCCGTCCCTTTGTTCAATGATCAAGCTGGGCATCAGGTTGAGCCGAGTTTGGGGCTGAAGTAAGCCAGGTCATCTAACCCCAACTCATATTTTGGGCCTTAGGCCAGGGTTGGGCCAACCCAAATTTAAACCAAATGAGTGTAATAGTACCATGTTAATGGTTAGGCCGGTTTGTTTTTTGGGAAGTGGGAAGAAATAAATCTACATTCGTTTTTAGTATTAGTAGGTTTTATGAAAAAGAACAATTCTCAAGTGATTCATTTACTGAAGAAGTAAATCTCCTCATAGTTGGATAAATTAGTTACTGATGCATATTGAAAATCACTAATGTGTGGTGAGATAATATTATCCCTTCAATAATGTCCTTTTTTTTAATAAATCATTATTAACATGAAAAATAAAAAAGCATTAATAAGTACTCTTATCTAGATAAATGTTTTTCAAAAAATATTTATACAAATAAATGCATTTATCCAAATAATTTATTAGATGACCTTAAGAGAAATTAACTTTGAATTACATGATAACATGAAGTATCGACAGCTTACCAAGGGCTAAGAACTTGGGCTTGCTTTTTGGCCAGGCCCAATCGCAGTTTCCTTGGGTCAGATTGGACCGGCCCAGACCAATGCCCAACCCTACTACTTGGTCTAGTCACTCAAATAACAAGGCTAAACGATAAAGGACATGTTTGGTGAGAGGGGAACTTTTATCGTTTTCCTCTTTTTCAAATCGTCACGTCTCAAAACACCTGAAAAATCAGATTTGATATCTACTAAGAAAACAAAAGTGTTTGGACCAAACATCTTTTTCCTGAAACTGCTCAGTTTGTGTTTGCGGTACGAAGTTTCTTTGCACTGTGTAAATGTGCAAATAGCTTACTGGACTTCCACTTATTTGATTATAAGAAATAAGAAGTAAAATGAAGTGGCCTCCCTACTTTTTATATATATGATATGAAATAATGGAAATAAGAGGGTTTGTTTGATTGGACTTCCTCACACCAACCTTATATAGCACGTTGCAGCCATGCGCTGGTAACATCTCTCATGAATGATAATATGCAAATACCAGAGATGTTTCCAATGTACAATTACAAAGTGTTATGAAACTGGTGTGAGAAATGCTCTAGAATAAATTTAGATTCGATAGAGAATTGAGGTAGAAAGAAAGTGGTACAAATTTTGCATAAGTTTTTGATACAAAATTTGCGTTGTCCACCAAAACTTGTAAAATTTTAAACTTTGTTCTCCTTATTTAATTTAAACAAGTCAATAATTTTCCTTTTAATTTTCTATATTTCACCAGGTTATCTATTGTTAAGAAGCAATAGTGAGCAGAAAAACTTGAAAATTTTTCTAATTCCAAGTGGTAAGTCACTAAGTGCCCTTTTCCTTTTGGGAGCATCAGGATGTGTTGCAAACACAAATATGTGAACCACATTAGAGGGGCAATCGAGTCAAGTTGAGCCAAATTTCTTCATGTCTTAGCTCGATTCAACTAAAATACTATTAGGTTTGAGTTTGATTTGAACTCTATTTCATGGTTTGAGCTTAGCTCAATTAAATAATCGATGAGCTTGAAATCAGATTGAAAGCTCAAAAATAAAAATATTTTTATATTATATATATATATATATTATAATATATAATACATTCTTATATTTTTATATAAAATCATTCTTAAAATTTTTCTTTCTCCCCTCTCCCTCTCTTTCTCCAATAATCAATGATTGAAACATCTCCCTACCTCATCAAATCCCTTGTTTATTATTAAATCTCTTTAAACCCCTTTCTAATGCCGGGGTATATATTGGATGAGTTGTTTAATAAAGCTTAAGATCAACCCAAATGCCAAGTGCAAGGCCAATCCTAATTTACCAATCCAAAAACCATACATTGCATGGGTTTACTTCCAAATGAAAATAAAAAAAAAAAGAGCATATAAACCACAGGTGTAAGATATTAAATTGATACTTACATGCTTAGTATGGGCTCGGGTTAGCTGAACGCATGGCTGTGAAGTGGACTATAGAATGAAGTCACATCTGCCCTCCATAGAATGCGCCTCAAAAAAGTCCCACAACACATCCCTATCGTGTATTGAGAACATCTCCAAATGACAAGTATGGGAAATATTCTTAATGCACGCTGAGATGTGCATGTGGGATGTTTTATGGCGTGTTCTATGGGGGGCAGATGTGAACTCATGTAAAATCAATGATAACACTCTCAATATGTTAGTTATAAGATACATGTGGGGTTCATGGTGAGAGGTTAGCTTCGTTTGTTTTCCGGGAAGTGGGGGTGGGAAGTTGGTAAGTACCAAAAGAAATATATCCATGTTAGTTTTTTGGTATTAGTGGGTCTCATGAAAAAGAATGGTTCCCAAGTGGCTTATTATTTGAGGAAGTAATACTCTCCTCATATTTGCGTAAACTATTTACCCATGCACATCGAAAATCACTAATACGTGATGGAAAAATATTGTCCCCTCAATAGTATTACCCTTTTTTTTGGGGCAAATGGTCATTGATGATGTGCGATCTAGTGGCTCCTAACTGGACAGTAGTTCGCCTAGTTGGCCGGTTGAATTGCAAGGAAGAAATGCTCAGAGAACCCAGGGTGGCTAACCCGGCATGGTCATTCCAATGCTTAAGTTAGTATTGAGTTGATTCAAAGCTTAAAGTAAGTGAATATGAGAGCTAAAATGCACCAAATCGCGCGTACCTGGATCTTAGGGGTTAATGCCTTTATATAATTGGATTGTCGTAGGTCTCACAAAACACATCCGAGATCCTCGGCCCACTCCGTCAGGAGTCCGTTCCGCCCTGGGAGGTGGATAACGTGCTAGCCAATAAGGCCTATCATGTTCGTCCGATTCGGGCAAGATAAGGATTAGTCCCCCAGTCGTGTGGCGTGATCCCGAAGAGCTCGGAGATAGTTAGCAAGCTTCTAGAATTTTGACGTGTCACCTCAATAACTTAGGCAATCCTGAGCTACTTAGACCTTGGTCATCGCCAAGGTGCCCGAGATACCCGAAGTGGCTTGGCCCGCCAAGGTGGTAGGTGGTGCTGAGGTGGCGATGAATGTTGATTCACAATCTAGCTGGCAAGTCACGTCCACGTGTCCTCTGCTCACTAGGTCGAGCCAAATCACCCCTCATTAGTCAGTATACACCTTTTACATGGGGAATAAAAGAACACAAGTAAGTTGTTCCTATCTAGATAAGGGTTTTCCAAGAAACACTTTGTCTAGATAAAATTCATTTACCGGATACATCATTTACTGAGATGTGAACAAGGCTTAAATAGTTATGGTTTTTGAACCATTGTTGACCTGAATAGTCGAACCATTCAGCTCAGAAAACCGTCTGGACAACTGGTTCTATTTCACCCCTAAACCGGTCCTTTGCCAAAAATTGTTGATTTAGTCAACAACCCGTTGACTTGGGTGGTAAAATCGTCAATCCGTTCAATCTGGACAATGGTTTTGGCCAATTTTTGTTTTAATTCTTGTTTATTTTTTAAATTGCAATGAATCATTTGTTTAGATTGGGTGGTTGAACAATTGGCCCGAAAACCAACGGTCAAAATGGTTCTGATGGAGGGTGATTTCACCCGACCTCCTGAGAATGTTACACGTGGACGTGACTCAACACAAGCGATAGCTCAGCATAACAGCCTGGCTGCAACTAAGTGACGAGCTCGCAAGACAGCTCACTACATTACAGCTCGCCACAGGATGAGCTCGCTACAGCGCGAGCTCGAGGACCCCCGATGTATTGAAAGGGAATACTCCAAGACAAGTCTATCCCAGCTCGCTCCAATACCTAGGCAGGAGAACTGCCCCAAAGGCAACCTCAGGCGGAATCACCTCGAAGTACCTCTAGGAGCTCGCTACAAGGCAGCTCGTAACAGGATAGCTCGTAACAAGATAGCTCGCTAGAAGGCAGCTCACTACTAAGCGACGTGACATTTTTAGGAAGCTTCTATCCAACAAGACCGTACCCATCAGACTGCATCACGTCTCCTGACTGACGGCGCAGTCCCTGCAAGCCCGACAGATTGCACCCACGTCTCTCGATAGGTGGTGGCGTGTCTGTCTTTCCGAGACGTGTCACTCATCCGATTGGGTAGTACTCTGCAACGGTTACCTGTGCAGCCCTAGCAAATAACAACCGTGACAAAGGTCCAGTGGCGGTTACGCCCGATTTGACAAGAATGCCCATATTTAAGAGCTCCATGTTCGAAGGGGAAAAGGTATCTTGAGTTAATCTCGAACTTTCATTGATCTAGCGCTACCTGCACTCTTAGCTCTCTTTGCATTCCTTATCGCTCTTTCAAGTGTTCTAACTTAAGCATTAGAGTATTCCCACCGGACAAGTCCCCCGGGAATCCTTCACCGTCTTCTTCTCAGGTACCGTCCGTCGCCAGCAAGGAGCCAGTTGACTGCCAGCTAGGAGTGCCCGGATTGCGTTGCATCATTTGGCGTCGTTTGTGGGAAACGCTTCAAAAATCCTTCCTCTAATCTCTGCAACTCTCTCTAAGAACTCAGCATTCATGGCTTCCTCTAGTAATGCCAGACGTGGTGACTAGAACACTTCAGGGGAGCAACCCCAGCTCCCAACTGTCTACATTGGACAGTTCACCATCCCCCTCTCTGTGGATGGAGTTCCCAGCTTGAACGTGCCTCACACAGTGGCACCTATGAGCACTCCACTCCCTTCAACGGTTGGAGCAACCTTCACTGAACCTTCCGTTGTTCCCCCAGTGAGCAACCAAGGCCAGCTCGAAGAC